TAAAAAATTGAATATAATGATAATATTTAAAAAAATTTAATCTTTAAAACTAATAATTTTTTTAAAATTAATCAGAATCAATTAGGACCAATTAGAACTTTTATCAACCCTACTGTGATTCAAAACAGTTATATCATTTTCAAAAAGCTGATAATAAGAAGTCAGATTTGTGGTAGATAGTTAAAAAATTTGATAGAAAATTTGTATATCTATAGTTTTTAAGAGACAAGAGCTAGCAGACCAAAGAGTTATCAAATAACCAGAAATGTTATTGTAGTTGTTTAAGTCAAATAAGCATGGATAGGCCTAAAATTGAATTATCAATAATAGAAGAGTTTATAATATTGACAAATTGCTGTATTTTAGTTGGCCATAAAATAGATAAAAGATCATTGAATCCATAAATGAGTTTGTTATGAATAATTGAATTTGGAGTGCTGAGTCTGAATCCTAATTTATTTTTAATAAGCCTTCTTATGGTAAATCACTTTCATATTCAGAGAGAATTATTAGTCTTGATCTATATTTCAAATGGGGTATGAGAACCATATTATTTAAGTATCTCATTTGTTTATCTGTTAAAGATTTAAATCTGAGTTTATCTCTAAATGATGCAATCTCAGATGAGATTTGGTGTTTGATGTATATTTTGTTGTATTGGACTGATATCCATACACTAATATATCTAGTCAAATCCATGGGTGAGATAGTTTGTAGTAAGTTTTATTATAAAAATTCGTTATATTCAATAATTTTATATAAAAAATTCGAAATATAGAAATTCGTTATAGTGAGGTTCAACTGTACTATAAATATAAAAAATTCTATATATAATTTAAAATAATCTTAATTGTAATAATTTGAGTCTTCCAATCTCTGTGAAAATGTTTTCTTTTAGTAATCCTCCTTTCATTAGCATCGTTTCCATTTGATAATTCCTCTGAATGCTGTGCCTTTTCATAGAAAATCTCATTTTTAGATTTTAAAAAATTCCACCAAATTTTTAGGAGTCGTCTGTTTTTCCTTTTTAGGAACCTTTATCTGCTACTTAGGAGATAAATAAGATCAAATTCGTGAGGATTATATATATTACCTTTAACGGAACATTAATTAGATTGAACTATTTAAAATTTAGTGCAAAGTCGAAATGGTCAAAATATTTTCATGGCCGAATGCCGAAACTATTTATGAGGGTCGAATTGTATTATGATGGTCGAAATGAAATACGATGGACGTAATGAATTACGAGGGTCGAAATGTATTACAATGGTAGAAACGATTTACGTGGATTACGAAAATTGTAAAGCTTTAATTAAAACCAGTTTCAAAAAACTGAATTTTCTTTTAATTAATCATGAACGAGATCTCTTGTATCCAATTGTTATTTTGCTCAATAATCTTCCACCAGCTTTTTACAGAATTCATAATCAAATTCATATCCTATTAATTGATTTAAAAAAAAATAAAAACTAAATTTAAGACCGGATTTATTTATTATATGTGGAATTGATTGTATCCGGTTTTTAACCGGTTAATTAACCGGATGAAACGAAGGAACCGGATTTATTTATCCGGATGATTCGAATCGGTTTTTAAATCCGATCGGTTCTAATCTTTTTTTTAAGAATCTAAACTTTATACTTCTAGTCGTTTGACCCAAGTTTCCAGAAATATTATATAATGACATTATATATAAATATAAATGAATGACTTTGATAGAAATAATCTTATTTCGAATAATCAATAATTATACTGAACATAATATGGAAAATATCTTGTTTCTAATAATTGAAATGAATAGTAGAAAAGTTATAATAAATCGGAAAAGGGGTTGGTATTTATTAAGAAGATATATTCTAAATGCGCGAAGAATGATAGTTAATACTCATGAATATGAGCTCAATAACTCGCACAAACTTTTTAGCAAGGTGTACGACATACAATTATATTTTATTTCAGTGGCATAAAAAAGAGTATCCCTTAAGAAATCCTATATTACATTTTTTTTTTTTCCTTAAATTTTCTTTTGTATATAAAAGAAAAATAAAAAAATAATAAATTACGAATTGTTTTATAATTTATCAAACTAAGTAAAAATTTTTTATTTATTTATTTATTTATTTATATTTTTTTTTTTCTTTTTTTTTTTTTTGATTTCAATTTTGGATTAGAATAAATTAATCCTTGTTATTATGAAATCGATTTAATTCATTTAACGGATATATTACCTTTTTTTTAATAAAAAAATCATTATCAGCATGTTGCGGTATTTTCTTTTGCCACAGACCCTTTTGTGATAAAATCCGAAGGAAAAAAAATGTCAACCAATTCTTTGTTCGGATTTCTGTAAATAAAGCAGGAATATTATTAATTAAAAGAAAGTGACCAGAGAATATAACCGAAAAAATTAAAGGGTTTGCTTAAAACATACCAATGAAATGGAGGGTTACTAAGTGTGAAATCATCAAGACCTTGATCAGGATATGAATACATGGCAAAACCTTCAATCATTAAATCGTTAATAGGAATAGGCTCATAAGGTCTGAACTCACAATCAGGACAAAACCATTGTCCTGACGGTTGTTGTGTAAGACCTACACAATCCCAGTGATACCACGCATTCTCACACTGATTGTATAAATTTTTTAAAGGGTTAATCGTAATCCAATTTAAAATGTTATAACAAAATAGATATATATATATATATGAAAACTTACTCTAGGATGATCGCATTGGATCATATTACCAAATTCTTGCTGTTAATGTAAATGCAAAACATTGTCATATACGTAATACGATATATCAATGAGATAAAAATAAATTATCAAACTAACCCGTCTGCAGAAACAATATAAAGGTTCGTTTGGATCGAATTCCATATCACTAAAATCATCGCTATTAATTCAAAATCAAGAGTTCAAAAATTATTAAGGCAACTAAAAAAAAAAAAAAAAAAAAAAAAAAAATTATAATTACTTACTCTGATGAAATGTTACAATTTATTTTAAAAAAGATAAAGTTAATGATGAAAGATTGCCAATAATTAATTAATTAATTATGAGATATACTCACGATCTAAATTTATATTGTTACGGGCTAGTTCGTCATCTAGCCTTTCAAGGTGTCTAGAGATCTACATTATAAGTATTAATAATAAGTATTAATAATCATATAATTAATATGCCACAAATTCGTAATAATTTTTTGAAATTTGTAATACTTACCAGGCTATACAGTTTATCTGCGACCGCAATTTTTTCGTCCTGTTTGTGCAGGGCATCATCATAGGCCTTCTGTGATAAAATAGGGGGAGATGTAAATTAGGGAATATTACCATATTAAGACGTTACATTACTAATTGCTAAGCCACATTATCACAACCGTGCCACCATTGCCACGTGTCAAAAACGGCAATTATAAACCTGATAAAAACTCTGACAAACTGCGCGGAACTTTTTTTTTTGTTTCTTTTCAAACAAATAAATTATTAAGGATACTTTACCTCTGTTTTATCTTTCCAGTAGCTAACAATTTTTTCTTCTTCGTCACTTTGATCGGATTCCTCTAATATTTCAAAGTATTTTTCTTGACATTCTTTATAAATTGCACGTAACTCTATAATTGGTTATGTTATTATGATATTGATAAGTTTGCCAAAATATACATAATGAATTAATTTCAAAACAACACGATATTAAAGACCATACTTTCTAGCTGTTCGTCTAGAATGTGTAATTCGGTTAAGCTTTGAACCACCTCGGAACCCAAATTGTAAATAGCTATATTGAGGAAAGGTGATAAAATATAAGAAATAAGGAAATTAAGGTTACTTTGTATTAGTTGATCAGTATCTTCTGTTTGTCAAAAGTAAAAGAAAAAAGTTTTTTTTTTTTAAAAAGAAAATACTATAAAAAATAACTAACAATCAATGTAATCATCAAGAACTTCGGTTGCTGATTTAAGTTCATTATCAACACACATATCATTAGTTTCTTTGTCCATTTTTATTTATACAAGATATTTTTTTTTTAAAAAAAAAATTTTCGTTTGAAAATTGAGACGATGAAAAAAAAAAAAAAAAAATGCAGTGAGAAAAGGAGTAGTGAACCGAAAAAAAAGTGGTTACTGTAAAAAAAAAAAAAAAAAGTGAAAAAAGTAAAATACCACATGCACCTAAAGCTAACGTCAAATTACCGTCAGACTTTAATGTCACAAAAAGGTTGCCAAAAGTAGAGGGTCGTGCGAACATTTCTCACTTGTTTCACAAATATGCATAGTAGAAAATCCGTTGACAATCCAAACCATCCAATCAGCAATTTTGTAACTTGATCCAACATCTTGTGACTTGTGATATCTGAAGGATACACACCATTGTTAACTTCAGGGCTTAAATCTGTAATTGGAATTTGACAATGTTTCGACTCCAATATTTGATTAATTTTATAAATGATAATCCAGTAATCATGCAGGGGTACACCATTTAATCGATTGTATAACAATCGTGCGACCTTAATACTTTAACTTTATCAACCAATAAACTTTAATTCAACTTAATGTGGAACATATTTACGTGGCAAACTTTAGTTGATGTGACAACTTATTGTGATGCAATCGCGATCACAATATTATTTTTAATCTCTCTTACGATTGTAATATTATCCAAATCAAAAATTTTTTCATGATGATAAAACAAATAAATACATATATATGAATACATAATAAATGCGTACTTTATAAAAAAATTTATATATTTTTTTTATTCCCTCTTTCTTTATTATTTTTATTGTCAATTATTTGAGTTTATAATTCATCGTGCTCATCATGCTTTTCTTCTGCAGCGGCGGTGGTAGTTGGAGCCGATTCTGATGTTGATGATGACTCGGGGGTCGAAACATCAAGGTCAACTTTGGTAATTGCATTCGTGTTCAAGAATTCAACGATATTTTCATAACTTCTATCTCCTTGATAATCTACAATTTCATTATCACCAGCTTTGAAAAGTTTGATTGTTGGGAAACCGCTAACTTTGAATGTGGCTTTAACAGGAAGGTCATTTTCAGTTGCATCCATCTTGGCGATGATAATCTTATCCGTTGCAGCTTTGTAAGCTTCTCCCAATTTTTCATAAGTAGGAGCAAGTTTCTTACAATGTCCACACCCTAAAAAAAAATATAAATTGAACCTCCTTAAACATTTGTATAAATACACGTTATATAATGCCACGATATTTACTTACATGGTGCATAGAATTCGACCAAGACATCCTTAGTTGCATCGTACACAATGCCTTCAAAGTTGTCAGCAACCAAGACAACAACAGGTTCGTCATTCTTCTCGGGAATCGGTTGAGATTTAATGCTTGGCTTTATTTCTCCCTTAACGAATTGATTGACGAATTCCTTAACGGCTTCAGTAGTTATGTTTTTACTTTGATCAAATGGAAATTTCAAATTTTCCTCGGGTTTTGAAATACCAAATGCAGGCCAGTCTTGTTTCAAATTGATGTTATCAGCGTGTTGACCAAACTTGTTCGCGTCAATAAATACAAAGCTAATTAGACCTTTGAATTCTTTCGCGACGGGTTCAACTTCTTGACCAAGTTTTGTTCTTTGCTCTGGGTTTTCATAAAAGAGGAATCCAACAGGTAAACCAGAATCAACGTATGAAGAATAATTGTCGGGTCCGATTTCTGCCAATAAAGGTATGGAATTTTTCTTGATAAAGGTAGTAATTTCATCTTTGGTAAATGTGCCCTCAAGAACATTTTTCCCTTCATCAAATTTCTTGTAAAGGATGATAGTAGGTGGTTTGACTTCAGCTTTAGTGATAACTTCTTTTTGACCCGTCGCACCAAATAGAAAATCTTCACGTAAACCTTCTGCGATTTGTGAAAAAGTGTTAAATTCCTCTTGACTATTTTCATCAAAGAAACCAATAATAACTTTTTCATCAGAATCTTTGAAATTGTCAAAATTCTCAACATTTACGTCAGATATCGCGGGCAAAGCTTGTCTAAAAGTTGATTAATTAATAATGATTATTTTATATAAATAAATAAATTAATAAATAGATATATATATATATATAAGGATTGGATTGGAATTTACGACTCATACTTTTTCATGTAATTGATAATAAGATCAGCCTTTCTGCCACCATTATATTCTGATGCATTACCATCCTTGAAAACTTTAAGGGTGGGATAACCTTTAATATCTTGTTCGGCGCAGACTTGAGTTTCTGTTGTACAATCAACTTTTGCAAGTTTGATATTTTTGTCTTTTAAAGCGGTAGCAGCAATTTCATATTCAGGTGCTAAATAAAAGAAAAAGATTTGATATATCAAAAACGTTGAAGTTCAACATCAAATAAAGTTTAAATATTTTGGGTTAAAGAACAAAAAAAAATAATGATTATGTACCCAAAGCTTTACAATGTCCACACCATGGCGCATAAAATTCAACGAGAATGAGTTTTTCCGGTTCAACAATTGTTTTAAAACTATCTTTTGTTAAAGTAAGAACATCAGATTCTTCGGCTGTTACGATAGTGCAAGCTAGGAAAACTCCAGCTGCTATGGATGATAGTAGACTTTTAATGAGCATGTTCGGAGGGGTAAAAAAAAAGAAAGGGAAAAAAGGATGAGAGAGACCTTGCCAAATTGACTTAATTTTTATAAAAATTTTCGGTTTTGTTGTCAATTGATAATTGGATGCAATTGTCATGCGATCATCACAACATTAAAAAGATGAGCATTTCGGATTGGTCCGTTCCAGCCTGGTCGGATTCAATTCTTTGGACCGATTCATGAGACCCGGTCTGGACTGGTCCTAAGGCTTGAAATCAATTGCTTAGCGTCATGCATATTTGTCCTCCCGAAAGAGTAGCCTGCCCGCCGACACGTGAACAAGTTTGTGATTAAGCATTCTCTTAGTGTAAAATATTGGAGAGGGAGGAAATATATCAAATATAAAGTTAGAGAGAGGTCAGTTAGTTCCTTGTAAATAATGCATTTATTGTTTCGATGCTTCAATGTTCCTTGGGGCCATTGTTTTTATTTATTATTATTTAAGGGAAATTGGCGTTATTGATAGTTACAAATTGGTATATCTGATTCATCCCCTATTTTTAGCCCTTTTTAACCCCAATTATTTATTTACTTTTTTTAACCAAGTCTGATTTATTAATAATTAATTAATTAATTTAACGATATAATAACCAGTTAGGTCCGGAATGGACCGCAGATCAATCCAACCTTAATTTCGTCATTTTTACTAACTATATTTAGAGATTTTCATCTTCATAACGTGTCAGTTGATCATCTACAAAATCAAAAAAATCAACGTTCGATGAATTTACTTTAATTAATTAAGCACAATGTCTGTAAAACAGTGGTAAGTGTAATTTGATTTACGAATTCTACTTTCGAGAACGAACGCGTAACATATTTTTAAATTTATTCAGGCGACAATTTAACTTTTTTGATGTTCAGCAAGTCAAAGATCCTCGTGATGCAACAAAATCACCAGAGATTTTTCAAGTAAACATTTCCACCACTTTTTGCAATAAGTACAGATCGTGAACTAATTCATAATCCTAACTTTAATATATCATAGAAACCCGACATAACAGTGAGCACGAGTGGTCGAGGAAACATTATCTTAGCTGATATCCTTTTGTTTTTATTTTTTTTTTAAAAAAAAGAAAATAGATCGAGAAGAATTATTTCATTTTATCCTTAATTATCCATTAATTTGTGCGTTTTAATCGCACAAATTTCTTTACTTAATTACATTCCTCTGGAAATGTTCACATTGTTGATCGATCTTTTAATGTACAATCATTTGTTGCATTTGAAGGTGGACGAGTGTCGCATATGAAACAAATGAAGCAAAAGAATATCTTGTTAACAGTCGGTGTATGTTTGTTAGAATTACTATTTGAATAATGGTCATTTTCTAGTTGTCGATCCTTTTTGCAAATACATAATTATCTGATATTATAGGAAGAAGATCCCCCATTAATAAAAATATGGGACCTCGATAAACATGATAAGTCTAAAGGGACTCCTATTTGTTTGAGAACCATCAAGGTTAGCCATGGAGGAAAACCTTTTCCCGTATCAACAATAGCCGTACTAGAGAATTTGCGTCAAATCGCTGTCGGTTTAGACAATGGAGTTGTAGTATTGATTAAAGGCGATCTTTCAAGGGATCGTTTTACCAATCAAAAAGTGGTTCATGAAAGTGATGAACCTGTTACTGGTACATAGCTTGATAATGAATCCTCGTTAATATCATATAAAATTGAAATTAAAAACTGTTCTTTCATTTCTCGTTAGGTCTCGGATTTAAAGAACATAATAAGACAATTATCTTATTTATAGTTACAACGAATAAGGTTTTAACTTGTATCACAACAAGCCGGAATTCCATTGTAAGTTTATTACTTGTATGATGTTATTATTTTGTTTTTGTATTTAACCAAATGTTTTATTCTAGAATATTATCGATGATCAAGGTTGTGCTTTAGGATGTGCAGTAATTAGTGATACCACACACGAAATGGTTGTCGCCAAAGACGAGGTTTGAAAAGTTTATATATACCACCACCTTCTTGATTATAAATTTTTTTATTAAGTTCAAAATTTTTGATTTTAGGCGATATATTTCTATGGGCCTGATGGGAGAGGAGCTTGTTTTGCTTACGAAGGTAACATAAATATGTATAATAATTAACGATGCGATTCTACATTTTTTTATATCAATTTACCAAGTCAGTCATTTGTTCCTATTAATGATAGGCACGAAATCTGCCGTGACGTGGTTCAAATCAAATCTTATTATTGTATCTCCACCTGCTTCACAGCCAACGCGTCTTACGAATACCACTCGTACCGGATTGTCTCTTCAGAATAAACCTTCGCAAATTTCTGTTCCTTTTGAATTAACAAAAGTTACCATATTTGATACTGCAAATAAGTTTATCGCTTATATGGGAAC